AACTATGTCATCTTTAATGGTAATCCATCTGAATACACAAGCAACAACAATATTTTCTCTTTTGGTTTTATTTCACCTAAGCAACTCTTGCATCTACAATCAACTCGATCTGTTTGTATGGATGCAACATATAAAATCACCACTCAAATCCATGACATTATGTATACTATCGTAATTCGTAATCCACATACAGGAACAGGATACCCTGTTGCCTACATGTTTACAAATAACCATTCTGCAGGTCCTATTCGCCAATGGTTATATTTTCTGCGTGATACATGTAATATGACGATCCAGCAAATGACTATTGATTGCAGCATCCCTGAAGTAAATGCTATTCAAAATGTTTTTCCATCTGCGAAAATTCATTATTGTGCATTCCATGTTGTTCAAGCATGGAATCGTAAATTAAAAGAAAAAGTAACACTAGATGGATCTTATAGTCAACAAGAACTTCAAGAATACCACCATACAATGATGGATGAATTAAAATCAATTTTACGCGAAGATGATGTTGATACAATGTATAATTTGATTGAAGAATTTAAGATCCAATTTTATGACCAACATACATTTCTTGACTATTTTGACCGATTCTGGATTGCAGAGGGCATCATTCAACGTTGGGCTTATGCATTTATTGATCGTGGAAATAGAGCTATGATGACGAACAACTTTATTGAATCATGGCATGGTCAGCTTAAGGTTAATTATCTTAAACATGTACGCAATAAACGATTGGATCGACTTATCTTTGTCCTGACACATGAAGTAGAATTTTATTTTGAAAATGAAGAGGAACGTATTTTGAGCAATAATGGTCATATGGGTCCTTTGGAAAATCAACAATCACGATGACGATTTCGTGCATCTCTTGTACCAGCTCGTGAAATTTCGGCAATGATCCATAATCCTGAGGGTGAAAACAGTAGTAGCCCAATGGTAGGTAATTGGACAGTAAGAGCATTTACTCTTCGTGCAACGCGATCAACTCCTGTATATGATGTAGTCGTCAATAATACCTTACTTATTGAGTCATGCACTTGTCAGGACTTTACTGATAGATGTGTGCCTTGTAAGCATATTTATTTGTTAAAACGATTTACCAATATGCAGCCATCTTTTGAAGTGGAGCAAAATAATGCCTTAGATGTAATTGTTCAAGCAACTCATGTCCAACATGGTGAGCCGAATGAGCTTGAGAGCACTCCAGTTATACAAATTGAACAACATGGTGAAAGTGAAAATGAAGATGTTGATATTCTTGATGATGTACAAAGCAACTTGCAGTTTATTTCACAATCGTATACTGCACTCCATCATGATCGCAATCGTGTGTTGAATCTGTCTACAATCTCGCAAGAAGAGGCGCACCAGTATGCTCAACAAGTCAGAGAGCTAGTCTTACTTCATCAAACAATGCTTCAACGATATGATCGAACTAGACACAACAATACCCAGCGTCAATAACATCATATATAATTTTCTTTTCTTTCTCTCCTTTTTTCTTTCTTTTTTTTTATTACTATATATATTACATATCAAACATCTATCCTCACAAATAAAACCATCCATATATATTGTTCCATTTTACGTATACTGAGAAACGCGTTTACTACTTTTTTTTATTATTTTTGGTGCCTGAATTATATATCACAAAAAAACCATGTTGCTCTAATAGTTTAAAAAGTACTAACGTATCCTTTGGATATTATTTCGTTGAATAGACGAGGTAATAGTACTGCTACTGTTGTTGTATGTAAAAAAAGGAGAACGCTCAACTATAAATAAATGAAAAAAAGCAAACTTTTGGGTAAGTACACAAAAAAAACCGTTATGTCCCTTAAATCTATGTCCCATTTTGAACTGTGTTTTTTTTATACATCCCCCTTACATTACACCATGTATTATAAGAGAAATAGGTCATGCATCTCATATATTTACCTCCAATGCGTGTCTTTGCCGTATAACCGTTGTTCATCATTATGAGAACCTAAGTCAAAAAAAAAACTTTTTTATCTGTTATCTTTTCATCTATATTTTTCTTTAAATCTCATAACAAGGCTGTCTTTTATTTTTGTTCGTGGTTTTTAATATATTGCCCAATGATCTCGTGTATACATTCATTAGAGTTGTAGGTGTTGGCCGTGATGGAGATGGTTATAATTAAGATGGAAAAAAAAGGGTTTTTTTTCTCTTAGTATTATTTTTCTACTCCTATAATTTTTTATTTCACTTAAGCCACTACTTTCAAATTTCAAATCCAGTTGGGGTGAAATAAGGGCGTGCCCACCTTATAGTACTTTTCCTGCATGCAATGCTTATATTATTACCGTACGTGCATTGCTTTATCAAGACAGAGATAGTGATGCAGTTCGCTTTTATAAAGAATTACTTTTGCAGTGGGCCAGTGTCAAGTTTCTTCCCTGGTTGGAAAGCAAGAAAGTCTCGGTGGATGTCAAGGACAAGAAACTAAAGATACGATCTCCCTTTCCTTCATAGTCTCTTTATATATATATCTCTCTCTCTCTCTCTCTCTCTCTCTCTCTCTTAATCTCAAGCTCTCTCTCTCTCTCTCTCTCTCTCTCTTTCTCTCTTAATCTCAAGCTCTCAAGCTCTCAGTCTCTCTGTCTCAATCTCAAGCTCTCTCTCTCTCTCTTAATCTCAAGCTCTCAAGCTCTCAGTCTCTCTCTCTCTCAATCTCTTCTTTTTTCTGTTTTTTTTTCTTTATAATTACTATATTTATATATTTACAAAATAATTAAAGCCATCTAAAAACACCATCCTTTTTTATTTTGATTCGATAACAAACAACATACTTATTCTATTTTTCATATGATTGAGGTTTTTATAGTGATTTTTATAAGTATGAAAATACTCTTCATCAATAGGGATGAAATATTCGCATATATTCATATAATAATTATTTATAGATATGAAGAATAATAAAAGTAACTTTTTATTATAACTATGGTGAATTTCATATAATATACTAAGCAACAATTGCTATGGATTTCAGTACTATTTTTAAAAGGCAATAATGACGATGATTATTTGTAAATAAGAAAATCTGTTCTTTTTTATTCTCTTTTTTCATACTTCTAATCATTCAGCAACTACGATTCTATATCCCGTATATTACAAATCAAGAAAGAACGAAAAAAAGAACAACATTTATATGATGGATACCAACACGCAAAAAATGTTACAGTCGTGTAATAAACTAAAGAGCTATCAAATATATATATTTATATATTCCAACAAAAGACGAATAGAACGAAGACTTTTATTTAACCATCTACTCCATTTCATATTTCAGGCAAGTCTATATCATTGTAAAAAAAGTTAGTATAAATTTTGTGGTAGATCAGGAGTAAAGATGGGGCTTTTGTAATTTTTTATGACGGATCTTACCTGCTACTAATAGCTTTTACTATTGTATTTTTAATTTTATTTCCCAGTTAGATTGAAGCATGGACGGTTTAGATGATTTAATGGAGGATTGGTTATATAAATGCAAAAGTATAATGGGTTACGAATAAGAAAAAAGGGATTATGATATGTTATAGATTAATACTATCGATTTTTTTTATTTATGATTATTAAATATCACTACCACGTCAGCTGTTCTTTTTTATTTTATTCGTTATTCTTCAACATGATGATCAGCGTGATCAATTTTTTTTTATTTAGTATCATCCAATATCATCATCAAAACCACCATCTTGCTATTTTATTCGTTATCTTTAAACTTACGGTACGATTCCTTTTTCTTTATTAGCATTTAATATCACCATGACGATAGCCAAATTTTATTATTTTATATATTATTTTTCAGCATCACAATCAACATTCTCGTTCTTTTTACCTGTGATTGTCCGATACCACTATCAACACCACTGTTTTCTTATTTTATTCATCATTCTTCAACATTACAATTAATACCATTAATTCTTTTTTATTATCCAACATCACTATTACCACTACTGTTTTGTCGTGTTATTCATAATCCTTCAACTTTATGAGCAGTATTATTGATTTTTTTTATTATCATTCACTACTACCATAACCATAACCGCCTTTTATTACTACAAGCACGTTCGACTTCTCTACTTTTATAGTATATAAATATTATGGCCATATATATGTCACGTCAGCAGCGCAATAATTATAAACTCATTATATTATATTCTCAATAGGCTGATTCTTAAGATCTGCGCAGCAGAGCTTAAGGATCAGCCGTGCTTAATTTTTAATGAATCTGAATATAAATTATATCATTTGAAAGCCAGAAAAATTCTGATTTCAGTGGTATAAATTTTATTTGATAGTTCAAACTCAGGGCGGAGCAATATGGAATTAAAAAATAGGTGTTTTTTAGACTTCGCTAAATATAACTAAGTCATCTAATTTATTGAATAATTTTAGAAAAAAATTTTAATTATATTTATGAAATATATATTTCCTAACCTAAAATGGGGCGCTGATTTCAAATCTGTAACCTATTTTTACCTGGCTAACTTAGATCGTGAGATATAGCCCTGAATGCGTTACCGGACTTAACATATATTTTTACGTTCCCCGGGTAGGGGGACGTTTGCATTCCACGCCGACGTTAGGCGGCGCTAGGATCTAGCCATTATGTACACTTCATTGATATTATACATATTAATACAACAAATGATAGAAAAATTATAATGTAAAGAAAAATTTAAGATTAAAATTATAGGTAATAAATATACCTAATTGATAAATATTATATAAAATAATAAGTACTGTAATCTAATACATATTTAAAATAATTTTTAGGTTTATATCTATTACTTAAAAGTATAAAAAATATAACTTAAAATAAATAAAAAATAGTAAAAGTACTATAATAATACCTTGAAGAATAGAAATTATCAAATCTAATATATTTTTATTTTAAATTTGAAAATTTTACGAATAATAATTTTCTACTAAACAATGTTAGAAATGAGAAAAAAATCAGTAAATGCTGATGCCTGGATTCGAACCAGGACATTCCCATTGATAGTCCAACGCTCTGCCGAATGAGCTATTCGTTTAGTTTAGGTTTCCTTGATTTTGATATGTTAGAAACTATCAAAAATAAAAAGTTTATTTGTGTTTTTCTTTTACGTTTTATATAACAAAATAGTTTAAAATTTTTATGAGACATTGATACAGAGAATAAGAATCAATATATCAACTAAAAACTAAAATATTATGAAGTAGAGTTTTGAACAAAATATTAAAAATGGCTTTTTCAAAAATTTTTACTAACTCAACTGAGTTTGAAATTGAGCTAATTAAATTCAGCATCTAGTTTTACCCTATAAGCAGTAATTAGTGGCTTATAAACCAATTATTTATATATATATAGGGATATAAAGAAATACCCAAGCGCTGCGCGCATCTTAAGATAGATCCAAGATGTTATTATATGGTATACTTGTGTTGGAGTTACCATGCTATTATGTTGTTTGTATTTGTGGATACGCTAGGTGTCTCCTGAAACACAGAAATAAGGGCACTCCTTACAACCATACCCATCTTGTGGCAATTTTTCAACACTTATTCTAGGAAGCGCATCTTTACCAATTGTTTCGAAATACATTGCCGCTTCATCTCCCTCTTTAACTCCCATACTATGTCGTATATCAGCTACACGACTTGTATTCTACCCAGTCAGCAGGTGGGCTAGCAAATGATGCTTTATAATTATGTGTTAATATATGCTCCAAGCCTCTACAAATTGATAATTAATGTTGTTACAGCGGTTACGGCAGAAGAAGACAAGTTTACTTGTATTATCAACTATAATCCCTAACTGAAAGAATAAAAGTTCTGGATTCAACAATTACATGTTAGAAATGTCTGGTGGCTTAATTATATTCATATGTATAAATCCCCCAGGTCACTTGGGTCACAAAATTCACTGCCAAAAATTTTGTCGGAGTCACAGCGGGTCACAGCTAAATACATGTGTATTTTGTGTTTCTTATTAAATAGTGCAATAAATACATCGTGTATTTAGTGTTCGGGTCACAAATCATAATGTTTTATATGTATTTTGAGTGTATTTTTGGTTGCTTTCCTTTTTGTTGGTGACTCAGTATTCTTGCATAATGACCATGTCAATGATTCCATAATGTCAAAATTAGAGATGGATTCAAACACCTAAAAATAACATTCAAAATATATAACATTATATAACAACAACCATCATTCTTATCGTTTCTTCACTTTCAGCTCCAAAAACATATAAATATTTTTACTTTTATATTATTTTTCTTTCATTTTTTATTTTCATTTATTTTATAATTAAACAAAAAAAATAGAAAGACACTTCCAGATTCTCAAAATACTTTGGACAAATCAGATATATTATAACACGACAGAAAAACAGTTGTATAATATAACCAACAAGAGTTAAGTTGACTTTTCATGTTCAGTTATAATGAATTAATAGCATATAACACAAAGTAAATACTCTATATTAAAGTGATCTTTGGTTACGAAATAGCCTATAACTTTATCATATTCTTTTGTGATTTACATTACCTGAGGCGGGAAGCCAGATAATATAAGCTTAGCTTGCCGATGCTGCTTTAAATAAGCAATAAGACTTTTGATTTTATATTTTATTCAAGAAGTCAAATTGAATATTTTAAGCCAGAAGAACACTTTCAAAACATCTTAAATCGAGCGATCATATGCTGTTTCTATAAAATAAATAAAATATCTTTTGAAGTAATGTTTGTAACTGTAATGAAAAATAGGATACAAATATGATAAAAATAGGATAAAAATGGAATGTAAGAAGGTATGCAAAAACTAAAAAAAACCCGCTGGGAAAAAAGCTATGCTGGTACGACAAGGTTGTGGATGAAGAAATATTAATGGAAGTAAAAGTATAAAATGAGATAGAGGATGGATTAAATATTGGCAATATATATTATATGCCTATTTGAATGTTTTGATTATGTTAAGGGCAGTAAGGGTGGTAGGACTGTTTGTTTTAAGATCCACGACCAATCTATTGAGAGTCATGATTTTACTCGAACGTACTCCCTCAAGCAATTGAGCTGCATCAACATGTGTTATTTCTTTTTGTTCCACAATGGCTTTTACAGCTTTCACAATGAGCAAACGTCGACTAAACCGTTGTCTCATTGTGGTACTAGGTCTCCAGGCTGCATTCCATTTTTCTTCCAATTCAGAAACAGAAGGTAAATGGTTAGCAAGACCTACAGACCATTCACGCCATACCTCATCAACTGTTTGAATATTAGTATCAAGCTCGTAGCGTGGAGGTTGGTTAGGTTACTAGCAGAACTCTGAACAGCCTGTGAGCTACTAGAACCGACTTCAGCTACTGGTGGCGCTACTACGGATTCAACTGAAGGGGCACCAGGAACAAAACGAAAATGACCAGTTGTAAGATGATCAATCTTTTCATGCAAAGCTCCCAAACTTCGCTTGAGCTCTGCATTTTCCTGGCGTAATGTCTCGAGCTCTGCTCGATGATACATTCCCATCTTAGTATCTATGTCATCAAGGCGATGGTTTACCTCAGGTATGACCTCTTGTATTTGCATGTGAGAGGGTGTGGGTGTTGTTCGAACAGCATGGGCTGAAGCTGCTGCAAATGAACGAAAATCTTGTCCTTGAAAAATAGGATGATTAAACATAGGATGAGTTGGGTGCTGTTCTTGTAACATAGCTGCATCTTGTAAAATAACAATGCGCATTGTTTTCATGAGGCGCAAAAACCCTTGTGCAGAAATTGACCTTTCAGCACCAATTCCACTCTCAACTTTGGACAGCCAGTCGTCAACCTCAGGGAAGATTTTGTGTTGCAATGACTCTTCTGGCTGTACCAAAGCACGAGGAAGCCAATATCTACCTTTTCCCGTAGGGAATCCGTTGACTGCACGGATTGAAGCTCTTGATAGCTTCATCAGATAATGGCGCTCCATGCTTTGCATATTCCAGCAGCCATGTCGACGCAATTGATCTTCGGTTGCCCCATGCAATTCAGCATCTCGTGCACCTGATCCACGTCCAGCGTGTGTCGTGTGCAAGCTTGTAATATTACAGTGACGAAATGCACGGACAATTGGGGCGTTCATTGTGGTGTACGCCATTTGCTTTTTAGCGTCTTTGCCTTTTAACAACTTGAAGCCATACCAATCCTCATTCTTAGTAAATTTTGGAAACTTTTCGTTGGACATATGGAAACGGTAAAAAAGATAAAAAGCGATGGCACCAAATGCACATACTCGTACATCTTTATGCCTGATTGTTGTAAAGTACATGCGGTTTCCATTGGCAAGAGTTTTACCAAAGTCGGAATGGAATGCAAGTACAGGGCAAGGAGTGCTGTT